TCTCTCTCTCTCTCTCTCTCTCTCTCTCTCTCTTGCCTTTTTAACTCCCAGTGGAGCAGTGGAGCATAGGCCTGGCCTGTCCTGTGTATCCTTTTCTAGCTGTTTCCATGATGTCCTGCCTTTTCCATTTCCGCTTGTACCGCTCTCCTCCATGTCATCCTTGGTCTTCCTTTCTTACTCTTATATTTTCCTTGTGGATTCCACGTCAAAGCCTGTCTGATGATGCTTGTCAGGGGTCTCCTCAGGGTGTGCCCAATCCTTTTCCATTTCTTCACCTGTATGTCTTCCTTTACTGGTCTTTGGCTTATTGTTTCCCACAGTTGAGCATTTTAGCATTTTTTCCAACACTTTTCTACCGCTATGAACTATGAAAGTGCACCATCTTGCATTAAAAACGTAAAATCTGACAGTGGTCTACAACAATATGAAGTAATTCATCAAAACAGAGACCAGGAAAGATGGAGTCCAATTGTGGCAAGGAGAAGGTCACCAAGGGATGAATGAACACAGCTACATGTAGTGTGATGACAGGAATTAACTGAACGGTTAATGCTGGACTGATGAAGTTGATTTGAGTTCAGATCTCTAAGGGACTGTTTGTTGGATTGTTTGAGGTGTTTTCATGGTACTTCACTCCCTCGTTTCTGCTGCTTCAGATATGAATGTTTGGTCACAAGTCCTACCTCTTGTGGCTTTACTGAGTTGAAAGAGTGTCAAATTCTTTCCATAACAACCACGGCACTCTTGTAGGAAAGTTCTTCTTTCCTCCTTCCTCAAACATAAACTGGCTTCTTTAGTGTAATGTCAAGGCGTTTCGCTATTGTTTGCAAAAGATGTTACTTTAAGTTTAAGACCCCAGTAAGAAAAAAACAATAATTGAGTCTCCGTCTTTCTACTACTGGATTGGCCCCAACAGGCAGGATTTTAAAAAAAAGCAAAAATGATCTAAATTGTGTCAAGAGGAGTGAAAATTAAGTACAATAATCGGAATAAATTAAAAAAAATTCTAAAGCGAGTGCGTGCATTGTGCTTCTTTTGTGGGCGAACACTTCTCCCTCTCTCCCGGATTGTTTGCCTTACAACTGGCGCAAGTTCAAGTTGGCCTCCAGATATTTCGGCTTTCGTTCCTGTGTTGGTTTTATTTTCTCTCATCATATTTACGTAAATTCGCGCTAAATCTAGCGCAAACACACACACACACACACACACACACACACACACACACACACACACACACACACACACACACACACACACACACAAGCGCGCACACACATACACAAGCGCGCACATATACACACACTCACATACTCACAAACACTCACAAGCACACACACTCACAGGCACGCACGTACACACACACACACACACACACACACACACACACACACACACAACCCTGCCCCGACATCTCGCACAGCCTGCTGTCCCGTCACAGACGCGCTGTCAATCAGGGGAGATCACCTGTCCCCCGTCTCACTTCCGTTCACCTGGCTTATCTCCCCCTGGAACGTCTTGTTTCTTTTCCCTGTCTGATCCTCATTTTTTACGCGCTCTTTCTGATGAACTACTTCCGAGCGCCCAAGGAGGACAACTGGGGAAGATGTGGTCGTGTCGGTCTGTAGTTGGTGGGCCACTTTGCTACTAACATTAAAAACGGTTTCTATGCACACACACACACACACACACACACACACACACACACACACACACACACACACACACACACACACACACACACACACGTCCTCAATATGCTGATGGTGACATTTACTATTTATACTACAGTGCCATTGACACCAAAAGGAGTCCGCTTAAACCGAAAACACGTAAAAATCTAGTCCGAAAACAGCGATAAACGGAAAAGGAAAAATCGCGATGATTTTCACTTCTATTTGAGCAACCTCTCCAAACCAAAAATCCTGGATAAACCGAAAAATATCCGGCGATCCTGCATAGTTCGGTTCAAACGAACTCCGCTGTCGCCTATTCTAGAGAATGGATTACATGTAGGTCTTTTTATTTTTTGGGTAAATGTTTTACGCACTTACAACCGCATAAAGTTCATATGAGCGCGAGGGACACTTTAAACTTTTTCAGTGGCAAGGGAATTTGGAATTTTGCCCGGGTTGCGGCCGAAGCCTACTCTTATCGATTTTAGACCACCAAGGGATCTTTGACGTGCGCAACTTGCACACGGGCCCTCCGAGATTTTTCGTCCTTGTCCGAGAATGCTAGGTGTAGATCTTTCCTAACAGAAGATCAGGGGTGTGGCTGAAAGACAGCAGTATAAGAAGGAGCCAAGGAGTAGCAGTAGAAAGGCTGCAGAAAGAGTCTGGAGCCCAGAGGAGGGGGCAAAGGAGATGAGAGGGTGCGGGCAGAAAGAGTACACGAAAGCAGACGACAGAACATTGCAAGAGAGCAGGAAAGGAGGTGAAAGGAGACAATTTTAGAGAAGAACATTTTTCGGTCACTACCGGGACTCGAACCCGGGACCTTTGAATGACAGGCCAACACCTTAATCTCTAGGTTAAGAAAAATCTTCCCTCACGGGAATCGCTCAGAGTCGCAAGTCGATCGGTCGTAATGTGCCAAAATAGTAACGTTTTGCCCTATCCATGAAAGAAAATCTGACTGGCCCAACTCAATCCGATAAATATCATTGGCAGTGAGCCCTAGGTACTACGCGCTCCGCCGACAAACCTAACCATCTGGTCAAATCTTGCCTCCTCAATGATTTGTGCCAATGACAACGTAAATTAGTTGCAGCCATTTAAAAAATTCACCCATTAAAAAAAAATATTTTTTGTTGTAATTTCATTTCTGTATATATATTCCTTTACGGGGGGTGCTCAAGATCTTGGTTTAGAGGTTACAATGTTCGCCTCTCATTCAAAAGGTCCTGGGTTCGAAACCGGACAGCCAGGGAACATTTTCTCCTCTAACATTTTCTCCTTTCACCTCCTTTTCTGCTCCCTAACCATGTTCTGTCGCCTGCTTACGTCTCCAGTCTCCACTTTCTGCCCCAATTGGGCCCCCAACTCTTTCTGCAGCCTTTCTACTGCTACTCCTTGGCTCCCTCTTATTGTTGTCTTTTACCCCCACCTCTGATCTTAGGGTGGGAAAGATCTAGCACCTAGATCTCGGATAAGGGCGAAAAATTTCGGAGGTCCCGTGCGCAAGTTGGGCACGTTAAATATCCCTTGGTTGTCCAAAATCGATAGTAGGTCTCTTGGCGGTCCAAAATCGATAGTAGGTAGGCTTCAGCCGCCACCCGAGAAAAATTCAAAATTAATTCCTACCAAACTCAAAATGTTTAATGTGTCATGCGCGCTCATATGGCATTATGCAGTTGCGAGTGTCGTAAAACACTTACCAAAAAAACCCACAACCCCCCCCCCCCCCCCAAAAAAAAAGCTAAAACACACAAAAAACAACAAATAAAAATGCATTCATGTTATTTTTCTATTTATTACGCAAACATTTGTCTAAGAACGCGTTTGACCTGTTTCCCCCCGTCTACGAGTCACGTGACCTCCCCGTCACAGATTCCCGTGGCAAAAGCAGTTTCCGTCAGCTCCGACCCTCATCTATTTCCCATTGCCCGGGCAGTCCTGAGACAGGAGAGAGGCAGAGATCATCTTCAAAGTTCTGCACAGCCCATGAGCCCATCTCTCAGCCCCGACCTGTCTCTGTGATCTAGTGGCAAGCGCTCTCTCACTCTCTTCACAAGAGACATCTTTAACTTTTTTGTGCACTGTTCAATTTTACATGAGGCTCAAAGGGAAAAGAAAAAAAGGAAAGAAAAGGATAAAACAAAGAAGGAAAAAAGTCTTGGATGGTTCCCCCTGTCTGTATCGTCGGCCGGCCTTGGCTGAGTTGTCGTTTGTACGAAGATGAAGGATGAATGAAGGAAGGATGAAGGATGAATGTGGCGGGACAGACGTTGACGAGGCTGTAATGGCGGTCGTCCATCATAGGGCGGTGGTGATGGAGACAGAGCCAGGAGAGAGAAACTCAAACCTATCCCCATGCTCGGAGATAAACCCAGACCTATCTGCGCTCGGCTCACACTCTCTTACCGGTGCTCCCCCGCTCTCACGATCAAATACTGCTCACGATGTGAGAACTGCTGTCTCTCCACAAGCCCAAACACTGACCCCGTGAGTGTTGGTTTGCGTTTGAGTAAAGAGAAGCATATCGACATAAAAAACCCCAGTCATGTTGAGAAGGGGCAAAAAGTAGGAAAGCCATACAGAAATATCGGAAGGGGAAAAGAAAAGATGTATGATTTTTCAAGTGACGCCCTCCAATCACCGGGCGAGTCCGTCCATTGTGAAATTTGTAGTTTACCATTGACTAATTCAGTGAGCATACAGCGAGGATTAAAAATACTGATTATGAAACTATGGTTATTCTAACCAGTATAACTTCTTTCTATACTACGACGAATGAACTCTTTTTTTGTCAGTACGAGTGCTCAACTCAACACGTGGCACAAGTAGGTACATTGTAATTTCGAAAATGGGCTCTATACTTGGAGCTTCTACTTTCTGTTTATGGTACAGTAGATGCAGAAGACCTATGTTCAATTCCCATGTGGGGAAAATCTTCATCGAGTTTCTCGGTCTTTCTGCCGAGACATTGTTTCTGAAACAAACAAAAACAATCAATTAAACAACTGGC